ATGGGCTGGTCCTGTCCAGTCGACTTGGCTGGGTGGATCGCCCTCAAGGTCTGCTGCTATTCAATACAAAACCCCACTCTTTCTTTTCCGATGACTGCAGACTATTTCTGTCATGGGTAGTAAGTGTTTCAGCAATAAAGCCAAAAACAGAAAACTTTGAAGGAGCCAGCCTTCCTGTCGCAGCATGGAATCTTGCAGTTGTTGCAATAGTCAAAATCTTCTGAATCCAGTCGCTTTGAACAAGGGGGCTCAGCCCCTTAAAATCAGATCCAATCAGACATCATTCAATGATGTTTTCAGCAACAAGCTACAGATTTAAAAAAAAAATGTAGCAGGTTTTTAAAATGCTCCTTACACAGTAACCCATCATTATTAACTATAATTTGATATAAAATAATCCCAATTTCATATTTTCAATTGCAATTATTTAATTTCCTAAATACCAGAATAATTAATCTGGTTCACTGGTTCACTGAACAGTTTTTGAAATACAGAATTTTCTGTTTCCAAAATTCAGAGATTTAAGTTTATATAAAGAAAAGTTTTCTTAGTTTATTTCAAAACTTATAAGTTTGAGCTTGACTTAAAATGTATGAGTTTACTTAACTTTTTCAGTGTGATTTCAGCAGTTAAAAGACATTCATGGCTGAGGCAAATAAGGCATGTAGAGCATCAACACTGGTGGTTAATCAAATTGGTTCATGTAGCAGGCAAGGACAGGCTCAAACACTTAGATAACATAGAGGATCTGACAAATCGTGCGGGTAAACTGTTGTCTATTCTGGGGGATTACTGTATAAAGCAGGTGAATGGTTTTGTTGCCAGTGCTGTAAGTATGTAAGGATTATGTGAATGTTTAACATACTTAAGAAGCAAAAAAGAACAAAGCTCTAACAGAACTAAGGATAGCTGAAATGTTAAAGTTTGCAAAAATTATTACTTCAGTAGAAAACAATACAGAGACAACATAACAAATGTTTCAAAGTAACATCAGACTGAATTTTACAACCTGTTCAACTTTATTCTCAGAAACTAAGTCATTCTTTTATATGGTAAGTTTTATGACTAGAAGGTTCAAAATAGGTCCACGTTAACCCCCTATTGGGCCCCTGTTTGAAGTTATTTGGTAAAGCACATATTTATTGACACCATGTACATTTTTACACACAGCTTAATCGAAACAAAGGTGGCAAAGGTACACACATTATATAATTATATATTGTATAAATCCAGGTACTTGTGTAAAAAAGTACTGATTCTTTAATTCATTATTAATACTACTCATTTTCTTTAAGCGGACTTTATATGCTTAGGATTTTTCAATTTTTGTTTTTATTTCAGTTAATAAATCCATCCAAATTATTCTTAATGAATCCCAAGAATGCCAAGATTTGATGTTAGTCACATAAAGTAGGCTTTAGTTAACAATTTAATTTAAGCAGTAATGATCATATTTGTTGACAGAAAATGAACTGACTACCAGTTTGGTAATCAATTAATTGTAAGTTGTTTTTGTCTTATTTCATCTGTTTTGACAGATAATGTAATAATTTGCTTTAGTGGAACTAAATGAAGTGAGTAAATTCAACTTAAGTGGTAACATTTGTATAAAGAACGTGTCTTACTTTATTCAGATACATTTAAAAAGTTAAATAGGTTTGGAGAAATGCTGCATATGACTGTAATATACGTATTAGTTTTAAGTTCAATTAACTGAATGAAATTGGTAAAATGAACTTATTTTATCCAAGTTACCTTAACAAATACTTGAGTTACTTGTCCTCAAATATTTTTACAAGCTTAAATTGTTTGAGTTAATAAACTCAAATGGTTTAAGGTTTCCTCAAACAGTTTGAGTTGAACTAACTCATTGGGTTATAGTGTAAGGGGTAGAAAGTACAAGATATTTGTGTAAAAATGTAGAGGTAAAGGTAGAAAGTTGTCAGAAAAATAAATAATCCAGTAAAATACAGATACCTCAAAAAACTTAAGTATAGTCACAAAGTATTCGTACTTCGTTACTTCCCACCTCTGACCACAAACCAGCTGACACACAATGAATTTGGGCCCATCATTATCACCATCATCATTTAATCATGTCATTTTTATCATATTCCTCTAAAACAAAATCCAGACTATAATTTAATAACATTAATAAATCAGGAAATACAAAAAAACTAACACAGTGCTGAACTTCATATCTAATCTGCCGACAGAACGTAGCAGATGTTATTATGTGTGTGAACATTAGAGGGCAGCCTCTTATTGGAGGAATGACAAAACATGAGAAGCACCAGCCTTCATATCATCATAACATCTCTGCTAATGATGCACATTTGAACACAAGTGTCAACATCGGTAGTGTTACATCTCAGTTCTGCATTTTAAATGTATGTATGTATTAATGATAGATATAACTCAGGTGAGAAAATGACTATTGAGATATTAATTATTACATTGTCATTATTGTGTATTGTTTCATTCTTTATAAAGCAGTTTGTGTCTCAGCGTTGATGATAAACCGTCAAGTGCTCTGTTTCATGTTTCAGTTCATGTTCATGGTGCAAGCGTCCTCAGTAATGACCCTGCTCACTCCCTTCCTTCTGCTAATCTGACGTCTAATTGGCTAACTAGAGCAGATGAAGCTAAGACCAGGAATAGGACTACATCCTATACACACAGATCTGTGTGTGGGGAGTGTCCAACTTCGAGGTTAGACTGAATGTGAGGTTAGCACAACATGATATAGATAAAGGGAATATCATATAACAGCTTTATGAGACACTCGTGTTTTATTCACATTTTGCTCCAATTTGACAGAAAGATCCAGACTGAAATAAACATTCAGTGGTTGAAAAGGAAATAAAATCATTACTACTACACAGGGAACTTGTATTTGATTTTGTGTGAAAGAAGGGACAATTACAAGTCCTTACAGACTGTACACTTGATCTTACTGTGAACTACTGTGTTGTTTTACAGCTTGCTGTGCAGCTCAACTCGAAACTGCAGGAATCTCACAGGTTCTTGAAAAGGATGACACTGGGATGAGAAATCATTTCTCAAGATCTAAAATTAACTGAATGAAGTGGAGAAAAGCTGTATGAAGGTGGGTTTCGGTTTGATATTAGCTCTCTAAATGTCTCTTGGCAATTTGTTGCCATGTAAAAGGTTCCATTGATTGGCCAATGAGGTTGGCTGATAGCCATGCTGTTAGCTCTATGTGTCTATCATAGATATACTATAATAGAACAAAACAGCCCTGCTGAGCCTTGCTTCCAGTATTACCATAGTGACAGTTGCAGCAAAAAATTCCCCTGTGGCCCAAAAATAATTTTCCCCATGGGCCACTATCATAAAACAGACATCTGTAAAACTGTTGACAGGACACCTCTAACCACAAACAAGGTTGATTATGACTTTCTTTTATGAATTTTGAATCTCTGGAGGTTTTATATTTAAACACTCCTCAAGCCAAGAAAAGTGATTTAAAAATCTGTCACATCATCACAATGTAAAGTCTACATGCTGAAAGGGACACAGTGAACTTTTAAGTTTTGAAATAAACTTTAAAAAAAGTTTTGACAACCTATAATTGTTTATTGAGGTAATTTATGTTTCTTCTTTATATATAAAAAAACAATTCTGTATTTTAAAAGCTGTGATCCAGATTCATTATTTTGGTACTTAAAAATGAAATAGTTGCAAATGAAAATATTAAATTATTAACAGTTTCTCATGTTTTCTGAACAATTTCTCAAATACTGATTTTTTTGTCTCTAAAACTTAATAATTTAAGTTGTTCTAAAAAAGAAAAGAAAAATTGAGACTTTATTGAGATATTTCAGTCTGGACATAAATGATGGATCTACTGACCACTAGCTTCTAGCATGGCTAAAAAGGAAACTCCAGAGACCAACCATTATGTGTGGCACCCAGCGAATTTGCAATGACTTAAGACATTAAATGAGTCTTCATAATATACTGTTGAACAGCAGTGTGTATTATTGTCTGTTGAGACCCAACCCGCTGCCACCACTATGTCCCTACAGAGGAGTTCTAGGAGGCAGATTAGTGATTATACAAATCAGTGACTTTTGTTTAATAACCACGCACCTACTGTATAAACACCTACTGTATAATCGCCATCTCAAACACTTGTACAACTGTGTGATGTAACTTGTGCAGATTTAGCTGGCCTCATGTGAAACTCACAGCTCAGTCGGGCAGTCAGGGAGCTTAGACATTTGGCACACGGGCTTTGGCTCCGCACCCTTGGGTGACAGGCACAGACTACATTCCTCAGGCCAGACAAGTCAGACTGCATGTAAGCCACTGTAAAGAAGTTACTATAATGTGACCTTATGATACACTGCAGGACAAGTCTTATTTATTCCCTTTGATTGTTATTTTTGCAACAGAAAACAAAAAACAAAAACAAAAACACTATTGTTATACCTGTTGAATCTATTCTATTTTATTTCTGAACTGACCTTATTGAGTTTTTATTCCATTTGGTATTATTATCAGCTTGTCATCTGTGAAGCACTTTGAACTTCATTGTATGAAAGGTGCTGTACAAATAACATTTGATTTATTGATTTATTGGAATATTGTAGTACATTAGTTAAAGTAAGAGCAGGGTTGCATTTAAATGAGAAAAAAAAACACCATAAAATATAATAATATAAGTTGTGCAGTCATACAGGAAGTTGTGGAAATAAAATAAAGAAATTACAAACATGAAAATAATAATTTTATATGAGTATGTAAATGTATCTTATTATGTAAATTGACATTACAGGGAATCGGGGATTACAGGAATAAACTACAGGTACTGTTTGATCCATCTATCATCCATCAATCCGCCTCTACCAGGCTTTAACAACTAGTGTGTGTGTGTGTGTTTGTGCGTGTGTTTGTGGCCACTGACCGAGCATGTGCAGAGCAGCAGGGAGATTACCAGCCCTCCACGGCTCTGGACTGGCTTGGAGCGTGTCCTGAGCTCTCTGAGTGTTTGCTGGAATATTCCGGGAATCGTTTTAATTTAGACATGAAGGGACTGGATCATTTGCGGGAAACAGTTCCAATCAAACAGGGACAGCAGAGGCACCCGAGGGACAGGAGGTGAATAGTTGGAGGTTATTTTTTATTTTTGTATTTTTTGAGGCTACTTTTGGAGACTTTTTGCGCACCGCATCTGCCGTGAACATGGCCACGTAGAGCTAAACAGTTTGTCTGTAAAGGGAGTTAGTGTGACTTTATTTAGAGTTGGACTGTTTTGAACAGTTCTGAATGACAGACTTGTCCAAGTTAAATTATTGACCTGGTGTCGTGGTATTTTACGCAGAGGTCGTGATTTTCTGGACGCATCTCCAGTGGCCTCATAACAGATAACGCAGAAAAAGACATTTTCAACTTTACATAGACTGGAGCAGAGGATTATTTATATTTAAGAGCTATCTAAACCGGAGATTTATTCAGGTATCGCTTGTTAGTGAGTCAAATGGCAGATGACTATGAACAGTCCGGTGCGTCAGAATTTATTAAAGGTAAGTTACACATGGATTTATGATATTTTATAATGAGTAATAATCATATAATTAACTGTAAACTTTGTTTTACACAGAGGTAAATGTGCTGTATTTGGGTAGATATAGCTGTGCATTCTTTCATTGGAAAATATATGATTTTAAAGTTGCAGTAGGTAATTTTTGATAAAAATAACTTTTAGTCATATTAGCTGAAACTTTCACTATATCCTGACAGTAGAACATGAGACAGATAATGTGTAAGAAAAATCAGGTTCCTCTGGCTCCTCCTAGCACTTCTAATGGCATTTACAAGAATCCACCGGGATTGAATGAGAGCAACCAATCAGAGCCAAGGGTTGATTTCCAAAAAATGCTCTCCCTATAGGAGTCGTAACTTAGACAAATCTGAACACGGATATAAAACAAATATTTTCAGATTTAGTGTGATTCACACTATCCAAGGATGTCATCTCTGATGTCCATAGTGAAAGAACTTCCAAAAATCAGCTTGGAAATTATAGAATAAAGACACTCCTTATAATGTAGCTCCAGAGCTTGCCTGAGAATCATCACTTTTTTAAGTTTTCTTCAGTATCAAAGTATTCCACTGATCGTTGTCTGTATGTCCATAGGTACACTGCAAACAGTCATTTTTGCATTTTTCTAAATCTTAAGAAACATATAACCTCACTCACATATTTCATGGTAATGGAGGTGTCAATTTTGTTCTTTTGAGCATTAATAAGAACAATTTTTGGATTGCCAGACTGTTTCCCATAGCCCCATATGTGACCTCCGCAATCCTTACACTAATCACAGCTCCATCAAAGGTTTGTCTGTTGTACGAGACATGAGTGTATGGAGTGCCAAGGTCACATATGGGGCTATTGGGTTCCTTGCTTTTAAAAAACCTTCATGTCTTCGGTTGCAAATGTTAGTTACTTATTAATAATGTATTGTGGTTCAGATGCTAAGCGGCCCTTCTCCAAAAGGTCTGTTCTGGGGGTCTTCCTGATGGGTATCGACACCAGCCAGCCATTTTTTCTGAATTATCCATGAGGCAGTAGTTAATTATTTATGAACGATTTGTAAAGCCATTAGTATAACACCCCCCCCCCCCCCCCCTTCATAAAGGGTACTTAATTAGAAAGTGGTACCCAAAGTGGCTACTTATTTATAGGGTTAGGATTACGTTTTGTTCGGATTAAGTTTAGTATTTCAACAGGTAAGCTGAAAGTGTGGTTCAAGGTGAAGAGCAGTTACCTGAATAAAATGACAATTCTCTGAGTTTGAACATTGTTGGAAACAT